TTTCACGATTTGAAAAAGAAGAAGAACGAAATAAAGGAAACAGAAGAAAAGTACAAAAGTACGGAGAATTTGGAGAATGAACCGCCGAGGAAAAGACGTAGAACTATTGCCAATCCTGCTGACAATCGTGAATTTAAACACGTGAAACTCGAGTTCCGTAAGAAATACAACACCAGGAGTAGATCGAAGAATCGGAGTATAAATCACGAGAATATTTCCGAAAATGAGGAAGATGAGGAAAATTTAGACGAGCCGAAAAGTGGTAAGTCGAAACTGTTAGTTCTCTTCCCCTGGGCAAAACCTGTTCAACGATCGATCGATCTAATGAAAATGGGAGTCTGCGATGTGGACCAAGAGGAGGAAGTGCAGTACGATAATGACGATTCGTATGACGATGATGCATCGAAAAAGAGATATTACAAAATAAACAAAGCTCCGTACGATCCAGATAGCATACCGTCCGTCGATGAAATCACAGATGAAATACTAAACAATGTTGCGGAAAAAAGTACTTCGAAGGAATATTGTAAAATTAACGGGACCAGCTGTCATCAATGTAGGCAAAAAACCATAGACACGAAAACGGTATGTCGCTCGGGAGAGTGCATCGGAGTTAGAGGACAATTTTGCGGGCCTTGCTTAAGAGGAAGATACGGTGAAAATGCCGTTCAAGCGTTAAAGGATCCTGTATGCTTCACTTTTTTATTTACATACGTAGCTTTTACCTAGTTGCTGCAAGTATTTCCGATTAATTCTTCTTTTTTTTTTTTTTTTTTTTTTTTTTTTTTTAAATTGTCCACCTTGCCGCGGTTTGTGCAATTGTAGCATATGCAGAACAAGAAGTGGATTACGCCCTACTGGAATTTTAGCCCCCACTGTGCAAGAAGAAGGATATTCGTCTGTTATGGATTACCTCCGATCTACCGAAATGGATGATACGTAATTCCATTGCTAGAAATATTATAGGACAATGAAATTCAAAGAATTCACTGTTGATGAAAATCTTTTTATTAACAAGTACAATATTTAAAATGATCATACTGTGTATGAGAAGGCCAACGTAATAAATGCATTTTTTTTTTTCTATCAACTCGTTAGCTTCGTTCGTCGAAATGTTCTCCTCTATTATTTTACTGCGATAATACCGTAACGCCTTGGAGATAACATAGGATCGAATAAACGCAATATCGCAAGTTTCGAACACTGATTACTCCTTTGCAAAAATAGTATTCTATCCAACATAATAGCTGCTTCTAGTACAAGACCCACTTGTACTCTCACCATTTGAAATATATAAAATTTTTCCTTTAGATGCGCATAAAATTGGAACGTGTTCGACAACTTTTCCCGTGATGGTATCTGAAGAAACGAATTTTTTCGACAAAAATCTGATAAATGTAAATACTTATATTTAGATTAGTCTTCTCGTTCTACCTTTTCCAATTCTATCCCAATTCTTGAAAATGCCCATTCGGCGTAACTTGGAAAATCGTGTAAAGGTCCTCCGCGACCTACTCTAGCATTGTAAATACCTATTAAAAAAGAAACAATCTGTACTGTATGCAAGTATGTAAAAAAAGCCATATTAGAGGAAAAATTTCTGATATACCCAAAGAGTGTAACACCACTTGTAAAATTGCCCTGTAGAATAACGACGAGGATACAAATTTATTTCTTCTACTTCTTTCTACAGATTGCTGAGCTAACATTCTAGCATTTTTAGAAAAACTGACTTGTTTATTAAACGTTTCGTTTGTCAAATGATAACAACACGGCACGATACACAAAATATTAATATCTTTTGTAGCTAAGAATGCTCTAATAACAGAATGAGTAAGAGAACCACAAGTATGTAACCCGGTTAATAGAACATTTTTATCTATATTCCAATCGCAAAAATTTTCTTTTATCATGCTCACGTAATCGGTACTGTCCTTTATTTCCTCAACTACATAACATACCTAAAACAAAATATCGTTCATCCATAGTTTATGTATTCCAATATTACAACTTTACTGTACAAATTTATTTAGCTCATGCTTCGATATTGTTAGTACCAAACTCTGAGTATGTCTCATTCTCTTCTGGAATTTTTTCTGCTTACAAATTGCTCCATTGCTACATGTTTGCGAAGAATCTATCGCGAGAACAGGAACCTTATGATTTTCTGCTAAAAACGTTGATAGATATGCCTTCCCAGCACCAGCATCTATTACTAAATTATTTCTTGTTGCAGCAATTCTTCCAATAATGTTTCCAAGAGATTCAACTTCGTGTAATTTCTTTGAATTCATAAATTCTCTTTTGATACTTTTACATGTGCATTTGCTCCAGTCACCAACACTTGCTAATGTATTTGCAAAATCCTTAGAGTTTATTTCTATAGAACACGATTGCAGAGATAAAGATTTTACCAGATTTATCAAATTATTTAACGTAGGATGGCTGTCACTTTCTGTCCAATAAACACAATTTAGCTCATTTTCCTCCAGTTCTGTTCTTAAAACTTCTGGCAAACATGTCACCCATAAATTTTCAGTAATAAAATCAACTATATGACAGTTTATTAATTCCTCGTAGGCATGGATAAACTGTATAATTTCATCAAAGTGTTTATCGTACATAATTCTACTATTTATCAACTTTCATATTCATCAAGCATAATATGTTATCCTTGTCTAATTAAAAATCAAGTTTATCCATTTCAGGGTACGATGAACATATTTTTGTTAATGAACAAAATTTGGCATACTTAAATTTGATATCATCTACAGTCTTGAGTATGTCTATTGTTGTGTCGTTGTATCTAGGAAAATTATTTAATTGTTCGATAAGTTCCTTTGCTATACAAACTCCTTTCTCTGAATTACATTTGTTGGTACTCAAGTACTGTTCCAAAATACCACAGTAATATCCCAATTGTGCAGCTAACAAACTAGCTCTATGATGGCCAAGATGAAATCCGTCTACCCACTGTTGTTTCGCAATAATGCCTTCTTCGTAACCTTCTTCGTAACCTACGTGCTTAGCACTTTCTTCCACGAACAATAAATCTTCGAATTTTTTATTTATATCTGTATCTTCTTTATCGGACATAATTAACATATGCTCTGAAAATACATAAGAATAATGAAAACTAAGAGTATTAACAAAACGTTCTTTTTCCTTTCATTCATTTTATGATCAAATCTACCTTCCACATATTGACAAATCAAATTGGATTGTAGCAGTATCGAACAAGCTTTCTTCTATTCTTCTTTTACGTTATATTTTATTGGGAAAACATACGTAAATACTTGATGTGATGAATAATCCAATCCAAACAATGCTATGAAATCGTACACTTGGAAAATACCGAATAGTTCGAGTCACCATGTTTCAAATGTTACTTGAACATGTTTGCCAATCGTTAAAGTCACTATATGCTTCGTTCATGAATAACAGTAAATATTATCAATTAAGGTTATAAATACATATAGAAAACAGAAATATTTTCTCAACATTTTATTCAGACATATTATGGATTTCAGCGGTATAGAACTTTTTCATTGAACAAAGAGAAATTGTCAAATGTATATCGAAATATTCTTTCATAGGAATAACATGATTCTAACCAACTTCAGAGGCGTGTCATGTTTGCAATAAACGCGGCGTTCTTTCCTGTAGCGTATCCAACAATTTTTCAAGTTAATATTTCCTAAAAGATGCTCGCGTTAGGACCAAAAAAAGACGGTGGACCCAACACGAAATTTTTTGAGTCCCAAGAAATTCTTACACAACTCGATGGAGTTAAACAGTGGCTCTTGAAAAACTGCAAAAAGGTACATCGAAAAGCCCGGCGTCAAAATTTACGGCAAACTGCTCCATAATTTATCTTTATATTAACAGCATTCTTCGACACTAATTAATCTCACCTACGTATTTAACAATTCCTCTACTGTTCGAACATTTTATTTCAGGGTTAATGTAAACAGTAGTAAATTATATCATATATAGATTTACAGTTTGGTACATTCCTTTCCTCTGTAAATATTGCTTTAATGTCTTTTACCTATTAACTTCGTATCATTTATTACGCGCGAGTATTTTACTCGGTAAACCATGCAATGTAATCTTTCTGTTCACTGTGCATAAAAGGAAAATAATTGCAAATGCATCGTCGTGCCATTTAAATTTTTTTGGATATACTTTTATCGCATTGTATTTTGCAGTATGTTCAAACGGATCCTCCTACTAATAAGAGCTTAGCTACTTTGATAGTACAATTACTGCAATTTCAGGAAGATAATTTAGGCAAAAATGTTACGAAACCACCAATGACAAGGCTTCCTGTACGTATTTGTTGATTAATTGTAGATAGGCATTATTTTCTAATTTTATTATTAATAATTGTGAAAGCTGACCGAATGGTTTATGAAACTTTTAGATGAAATGTTTCCTAGATTTTAAACCAGGAGGTGGTTTATGTCATATTCTTGCTACTGCTTATCGTTTTAAACAAGAACAAGGATGGCGTAGATTTGATTTTCCTGTTGGAAAGGTGAGCAGATATTATAAAAGTAATTTTGCTCCAATATGTAAACCAATGTTTTTTTCTAGTCAGGATCTCGTATGGATCGCACGGTGGAAATGTTAATGGCAGCTGAACGTGCTTTAGTACAGAATAGATGTATGATTATACCGAGTGTATACGTGAGGCCCGATGTAGACAAATCAACCGCTGGAAAAGTAAAAGAAGCAGTTCGTCGACATCAAGGAACTGTTGCTGAAAACGAAGCGGACGCAACGCACATAATTTACCCACCCGTAGATCCCATGGAAGAAGAATATGCACGGCCATGCATGAGGCGAGAAAGATCCGTTCTTCTTCATTGGTATTATTTCCCAGATAGTTATGACTCTTGGACTACGTTAGACCTTCCTTGGGACTTTCCGGAAGGCACACTTACAAGTGCAAATATGAAGTCGCTGTACAAAGTATCGGCAACGTGGGCATTAGATTTGGATCAATATAACGAATGGATGAACGAAGAAGACTATGAAATGGATGAGAACGGTCAAAAGAAGATACATAAATACAGGCTTTCGGTAGAAGACTTAATGGCTCAACCGTCTCATCCTCCACCTTCTGCGAAAAAACCAAAAAGAAAACGGTCTCCTAGTCCATCGCCGAAACAAGGCAAGCGTAAAAGTGCAAGAGCACCGTCAAGTGTTCAAAGTACTTCTTCTTCGTCGTCCCTTGCGACTCCAAAAAAAACACGCGGTGGTGGAGAGGAGGAAGACGATCTCACTCAGGGAATGGAAGATCCTCCGGCGGAACCTCGAATCGTAGAAGTAGTTGCTACACCTACGAATCCGCCGGTTACAGGACAGGGTAATGTTTCAACAAGTGGGACCGCTTTAACAACAACGGGCAGTAAAAAACAAGACAACGAGCTTCAGCCGCTTAAATCTGGTAATATGGCAGACTTGGATGAACCGATGGAAGGTGACAAAGGAAGTTCTCAAAGCACCCAAGACAGAGAAGAACGAGATACGAGCAAAGAAAGAGGAGAAGGGAATAAAGGAGATGAACCGGAAGACAACGTTACCGAACAAACGCATCATATAGTGGTTCCTAGTTATTCTGCTTGGTTTGATTATAATTCGATTCACACTATCGAAAAGAGGGCTTTATCCGAATTCTTTAATGGTAAAAATAAGTCTAAAACGCCTGAAATTTATCTCGCATATAGAAATTTTATGATCGACACGTACAGATTAAACCCTACGGAATACATCACGTCGACCGCTTGTAGACGTAACTTGGCAGGCGATGTATGCGCGATCATGCGTGTACACGCATTTTTGGAACAATGGGGTCTTATTAATTACCAAGTAGACGCTGAATCTAGACCAACACCTATGGGACCTCCTCCGACATCGCATTTCCATGTACTGTCGGATACACCTTCGGGTTTGGCTCCGGTTAATCCAAACCCTCCGAAGACACCGCAACCCTCAGCAGCGAAAACTTTGCTGGATTTAGAAAAAAAATCGAGCGTAATAGCAGGAACAGAGGAAAAAGCGTCGGCCGGTGCGATGGCAAACTTTGGATTAAAAATCGATCAGTATTCGAGGAAACCAGCGGTATTGAAGAACAAACAAGCTGCCGGTGCTACTCGCGATTGGACAGAACAAGAGACGCTTTTATTATTAGAGGGACTGGAATTACACAAGGATGATTGGAATAAAGTTTGCGAACACGTTGGCTCGAGGACACAAGACGAATGTATCTTGCACTTCTTAAGGCTACCAATAGAAGATCCGTATTTAGAGGAAGGTGGACCAGAAGGTTTAGGACCATTAGCTTATCAACCAGTACCATTTTCGAAAGCTGGTAATCCAGTGATGAGTACCGTAGCATTTTTGGCTTCTGTCGTTGATCCTAGAGTCGCCGCTAGTGCCGCGAAAGCTGCTATGGAAGAATTTGCAGCTATCAAGGACCAAGTACCAGCCGCTTTATTAGATCAACACTTGAGGAATGTACAAGCTAGTGCCAATTCTGATGGTAATTGGTCCCTCTTTTTCTCTCTCTCTCTTTGTTTCTTTTTACAACAAGGAATATCTACACTTCGAGTAATAGCATTTTCATCATATAATTATTTCAATCATTCAGGCAAATTTGATCCAGCTGCTGGATTAGCGCAGTCAGGTATAGCTGGCACAGGACCACCTGAACCTCCAGATGATACAACAGCACCTTCAACGACTGGAAATGTACCAAGCACAGTCGCGACATCTCCACATCCAGCAACACCGGCTTCTATAGAAACGAAGAAAGAGGAACAAGAGAAACCTAAGGAGTCCGATGTTGACCAAAACCAATTGGATATAACCAAAAAAGAAGACGAATTAAAAGAGGCGGAAGAAGATGCAAAATCAGCCGTTGATGCTGAAACTATGGAAGCGAAAGAAAAGAAGGACAAGGTATACATGATATTTTTCAATTGGTGTTTCATCATTTCCTTTCTGAAATATTCTTACATTATCGTTCGTTTTGGTTTTGTTTGTTTCGTTTCTTTTACGTGGAACTAGGTTGTGCGAGATGCTCAACTTCAGTCTGCGGCTGCCCTCGTTGAGACACAAATGAAGAAATTGGAAATTAAATTACGTCATTTCGAAGAATTAGAAACGACAATGGAACGGGAACGTGAAGGTCTTGAGTATCAGCGACAACAACTCATCACTGAAAGGCAACAATTCCATTTGGAACAATTAAAAGCTGCAGAATTCAGAGCTAGACAACAGGCGCATCAGCGGTTGGCTCAAGAACAACAGCAGCAACAACAAAATCAACATCCTGCCTGGCAACCTACTGCCCAACAACAGCAACAACAGCAGCCACCGAGTCCGCAAGCACCAACCCAGCAACCACCATCGCACACGCCTCCGCAACAGGCATAATTTTTTCGTAAGTCACCATTCATTTATATACTATATATAATACACATCACGTATAATAGATTATTGGTTGGAGAAGTGTTAACGTTCCAGGATAATGACGTTTTTTTAACATGTTGAATAATTTTTCTTTTCATTCTTTATTTGTTGTCACTTAATGTAATTAGACACGACACTTTTTACGAATTTTCTTTATCCATCGGTTACGCGTCATTTTGTATCGTACAAATGCCAAATCTGATTGAAATTTATAGAACAGTTGTTGAATCGTCTTATGCATGCGTATATCCGTATGCATGAGATTGGGATTTACTTGGTTGCATGGTGAGAAAAATATTTGTAAAGTGATTCGTTCTAATTGAACCTATAAAGCATGATTGTGGATAAGTTCCAAAACTAAATCAGTCATAAGTCGTGCGCATTCGGCACCTCCACGCGGTGGTGCTCGTGCGATTTGTTTCTCCTTGGTTGTTTCCGACCTCTCGTATAAATCTGGAGCCTCGTCGCTTTCGCACGTACTAATTGGCAAGATATCCAATGCGAGGCCTGCGCCGAATCGACTGCAACGACGCATCTCTTCGTTCAATCTGCACACACGATGAATATACAGTATAGAAATTAGAAATAAACAAGAGAGAATTCGTTGCGCGTTATTCTTTTTACGAAGAAAAAGTACATGTAACGCGTTACTTACAGCTCCCACATGACAGATGGATCTTTTGGTGGCTGTTTTGGATTAAGCGTATGTAACGAAGACATCAGATGGAAATGATAATGCTGAAGAAGTTGAGTCATGTGCGCTCGTCTAATTTCTCCGGTTGCGCAACAATACAACAGATTCGCAAGATCAAGAGCAAGAGAGCCAACTCGAGATAGTTGAAAATCAATTAAATAGACAACCTGTAAAGTCATAGCGTTAAGCGTAAGTTAAGGTTTAATCCGATGAAATTGTAATATTTCTGATTTGTATTCACTGGACTGACATAATCAATCGAAATCCACTCAACATTGACATTCATATTCGTATTACTTTTACTTCGTGAACGAAGTAGAAAACTAAGATAAATATTTTTACACTCTACTTGTGTCTGTTTTTTCTTTTCTTCTTTTAATAAATTTTAATAAAAGAAACAAAAATGTTGTATCCGTGTATAGGAATAGAATTTATAAAGTTCCCGACTTCTTCGATAATGAAAAGATATAATTTATTTACACAATAAAGTATGTATGATGCTTGAGAATCAAGTAAAACTACGTCGGTAGTTGAATTTCACTAATTTTTAGTTTTGTGAAATATCCATTTTTACCAAGTACAAGTATTTTTGCTTTATCACTACTAAAATAGTACTTCCATACGGTACATGGTAAGAAGAAATAAGAATTCGTAATGTACTAAGTATCTTATAAATTAATGTAATAAAATTATACTGAAAAAAGTTATTTCTTAATTCGATATTTTTCTCGATTCCTATATAATATGTAATATTAATAATTAAACGACATATGAAAATAAATATTATCACGCGTGTAATACAAATATAACATACATACACTCACGCACACACAAAATACTTACTTCTTCGTTTGGCCTAGTCAAGTTATCTTTGAACAAAATATTATTAGTCCAACAATCGCCGTGACAAAAAACGGTGAGAGGTCCTTGCGTGGATGCTAATTCAGTCATGGTACGAAAAAATATATCGTCATTGAGAAAAGCTTGCAATTTTTCCATTATTTCATGTCTCTTATGTTCCATATGTGCAGGAAGACCATCGGAAACCATTCTGATGGCATTGTTCGCAGCGACGTGATAATATTGACGGTACCAATCCTCATTTTCTGTTCGAAAAAGAGCCTCTTGTATACCTTGACCGCCGTTTGGATCTGTCAGTCTTGCAAATTCCTCCGGCCTTACGTACGCATATGTATATATATATATATATATTAATATGCACACATGCACATAGACATAGTAATTGGTAATATAACGTAAGTAGAGTAAGGGGAGGGAAGAAAAAAAGAATAAAGAGAGAGGGGGAGGGAAGAAATAAAGAGAGAGAGAGATTATTCGACTTGCCTTGTTTCCCTAAGAGTTAGGCTGAGCGCGTGAAAACCCGCTAAAGCTTTCAACACTCGTTTTAAGTGATCAAGTTGTAGTCCTTTTCTTCTGTCTGCCATTTTAAAACCTCTTTCTTGCAAATCCTCCATAGCGATAAGATCAATCCGCGCCGCGTATATTTTTGCGACTCCGCTAAAAACTTTTCTACCATTTGTTTGTAATTTATCCAAAGCGGGCCACACATGCGTGTAGAATGCTACTTCGTTTTGAAAGAGTAGCTCGCTTTTAAAAGCTTCACGGCGTTCCCTTGATTGTGGCAAAACTTTGTAAATGATCGCACGTTCGTAATTGATCCATTCATCGTTTGTTACTTGTTTTCGGCCTTTTGCTTGAACACGGTACAACATAGATGTATAATTGTCACCTCTTCCAGAACCGGGTTCTTCTTCTAAACTTGTAATCTCCACGTTAGGTTCATCTTTCGTTATCAATTCACGCACAAATTCCAATGTAAGGCACACATGTCCTTCCTGGTCCATCACCCTAGTGTCGTAGTAACGATAAAAGTTACTACTTTGTATAAATACAATGGAAAAATATCGAAACAAGAAGCTCGTATACTATAAGATTTTTGTATCGATAGGTATCGTAACACTTGCGCCTTTGTAGTGAACGGTTGAGTTACGATGTTAAGCTATGCGATGCAGGAAATAAGTATTTGAGTGACGAGAGAATAGTACCTCCCACTGTCGCACAACTTAATTTATTAATCGTAAGTACCCTAGCTAGGGGGGCAAGGACATTAATACATACCAATCACGCATGTAATTTCTATTCTTTGAATGACAAACTGATTGAAATTCTTGTACATATAAAGTCGATTTATATAATAAAGAAGCAAGTAACACTTTCATTAATCTTAAATAGATCGATATAACATTCTAGTTTACAGTTTACAATTGTTGAAGGAATAAGAATGAAAAAGAATTTGCAATTACAAATGTAATGTTACATATGTTTTACCACATCCTAATTAATTTCTTTAGATGTAGTATCCGACACATTCAATGCATCCACTCCCACTAAATTAATCAATCTATCGCGATCATTATCCGTAAGTTCTGGTAAAGTTTGCAATCTTGTACACATTTTAACGGTATGTGGAAATCCCACAATTACAGAATATTCCAAAAGAAGCTGTAAAAAAACATATCCCACATGTAGACTTTTCATTTGAGAAAAGAAACAAGTGAAGGAGATAAGAAGTAAAAATGTACATACGAGAGCCGCTTCGATACATTCCGCCAAAATACATCTATCAAATAATTCCAATACTTGCTTCTCCCTCATTGTTGGAACAAACAAATGCAATTCTTTAACGGTGTATTGCAAAACTTCTATGGTTTCTTCTGAATAGCCACCCTGTAACAGCATTTTCGCTATACAGCCTGTCACATTAGTTTCAATTGGAGGAGTCCAATTTCTTGTCGAATTGGAAAGTAATTTCTCGTCGATTTCTTCCTACAAGTACAAAGTTTTTTATGTTTGTATTATTATACTTTTTGTTCGATATATTTGAACGTAATAATTGCATGAACATTCAACCTTAATATCCTTCCACCAACTCAAGGCTGCATTCGTAAAAGCTGTCCTTAAAGGTGAAACAGCTGGTAAAATGTCAATATTCATTAAACGCATTGCAGCAACTTTTAATGACATTTCCTTAGGATGAAAAGCATATAGATCTGACCATATTCTTAGTATATATTTCACTACAACTTCTGGTACATGAAGCTCTAAATTATTTAGAATTGTTGTAAACAGCCGTATGTTCGGCACATGGTTACTCGGAACAAATTTTGTGTACCAATAGAAAAATTGATCAACTGTGCTTGTCGCTAATAGCAATAAGATATACGTAGAGTAATAAGTAGTTTGCTATGTAGAAAAGAAGTAATTAAATGCAGAAGCAATAAGCTGAATCGTTTTGTATAAAACTTATAAACAAAACGTACCACTGTTTCGGTTGCAAGAAATTTATCGTTGTTACCAGTATGTAAGAGTTTATGTACCTGGTCGCCCGCACTTCTATCATTGTAAAAATAAGCTAAACTCATAGCTTGAGGAAAAAATTTAATATCTGCGCTATCTTGAATCGTAAAATGTTCATCTTTTATTGTATCTAGAATATATAAAAAATCTTGATGCGTACTTTTACCTATAAAGAAATATACTTTTGTAAACGAACAGTTTAAATAAACATAATATGAATAAAGTATAATTACCTTCTCCGTGAAACGGAAGTATAATGTAATAATAAGTCGCCAATGAAAATTGTATGTTTAATCTTTTGTATTCTACCAATATTTTTTTTACATATTTACTACAATTTTCTAGTGGTGGTTGAACAAACACTCTAAGAGCGGCATTCAGTGTCTTAACATTTGGTTTTACTCCCTTCTTATTCATTACCCTGAGAATATCATATACATGTTGGATTTTAGATGCATTTTTCTTTCCCATAATAGCTGGAATCGCGAGTAATGCACTATTGTAAGAAGTAACATTCAATGGAACATCTGCTTCGCTGCATTTATTGAATATCTGCCATGCATTCTCTGGCTAAAAGTATGAATTGGAAATGCATTATATGATTAATGTATTGTATGTACTATTTTATAAAGAAGTTAAATGCAATATACTTTTGAACATTTTACTAAACCACATATCATGGCATTATAAGCTGCTGCTGCTGTTAGAGAATCTTGCTTTAGCAAAAACTCATACAGTTCATCAATCTCTGCACTATACCTAAAATATAGAAATATTAGAAAACGTAAAGCACAACTGAAATATTCCCCATTGCATTGATCTTTTTATCACTTACTTCCACGTAGCCACAGTTGCAATTTTATGATAAAATCGTTCAAAATAAAAATTCGTCTGCATACCACTGGTCTGATCGTTATGAAAACACAATAGTTCTAAAAGTGATTGCTTTGCTTCATTACTAACTTTGTTTTTTAACACTTTGTATATATGAACAGCTTCAGATATTCTACATTGTGATATGACTTGCAAAAGTAGCTCCTCAGATACTTGGCTTTCATCAGTGTATGTTGGAAATGATTTAAATGCCTTAAACAGACATTACAGATTTACTGATATCACATTTTAAAGTTCAACATTTAATATGCACATTGCAACTGCAATAGAGTGAATTTACCTGAATCTCTGGTTCTGAGAGATGTTTTGGAAATAAATCTCCGTGTTCTTCATGAATCCACATCGCAGCTTTTATGCCTGCTTCATATGATAATGTATATTTACGAAAATCCTGTTTCTTGGTTGGAAGTAAAAAAGGATCATCATGATACACATAATCAATTTTTATTGGATCACTTGGTACTGTTCTATTAAGAGCCTTTTAAAAAAATAATAAGCAGTTTAAGTAAATGAATGAATAAAAAGATCTTTTGAAATAATAAATTAATATATCCACATTTAAGATATCTGTTGGTCCACGTTCTACCCTAGCTGGTATTTGGATCTTAGAATTCGACACTGACGACAATGAAGATTGTAAACGTTTCAATTGGCACCATGAATTCCTACAAAACAAATAGTTCTTTTGATAACTACAGTTTGTGATATACTTGTAAGTGATCGGATATTAAAAGAAAAGAAGGGAAACATTATGATTAACTTTGTTGAAAAAATAATACCTTTCGAATATTTTAGCAAATTAAGTAATCGAAATTATCGTATTATACACTACTAACCTCTGTGAAATAGATTTCAAGTGATTCATCATAGATCTTTCTTAACTGTCGTTTATAAAATAAAATCTTATTATTTTGAGTAATATTTAAAATGTCGCTAAAAAATCCACAGCGGTTTACACGAATACATAATCTGCGATTCTACATATGTATGTACACTGTTTTCTTGCGTGAAAACAAATTGTTAGAGAAAAAGCATACGTAATGAATCACGTACAGTCAGCCTAAACGCTTTTGTCGTTTCTACTTGAACATCTGTTCGGTTGCCTATGTACAGGCTTTACTTTTTTCCTGTGCACAAAGTATCACAAAAAGTATAAAGAAAGATTATAAATAAGAGCGACATAAAAAGATTTTCACAACTCCGTAAACTTCTTTCTGCACTGTGAACAACGATAACAATAAATTATGCATTGCAGAATAAAATTATACAGTTTTGATGTTTCGTTATACATACTTGGATTTTATTGTTTATGTTATACAGTATTACGGAATAGAAGTAATAGAAATTAAAAGAAAATAGAAAGTGAACATAACGAATGAGCTACAGAAAAGTATGGAAATAGGACAATAGTAACAGGACTTATTAGAGAGTGTAGTGATTCTTGTTACTTTCTTGAGAAAGAAATTTCAAAATTAACTGTGCGTGTCTGTTCTGAAGCGTTAAAACTTTTAATTTGAAATTTTCCTCGATCAAATTAGTCAGGTAGTTGTTTGTCAAAAATGCGCCAAACATTGATATCGAACTTTACAAATGTAAAACATTTCACAAAGAATATGACTTTCGCGAAGAAAATTTTACAAACTTTGATAAAAACGATAGATGCATATACATTTATGTATAGATATTTAAGTAGATAATAAAGATATACATACTAACATACATATATTATAATTGGATAAATTTCTTATAATAGATAGTAATGTAAATTATGTATACATAAAATTAAGACTTTGAATTATAACGAAAAGAAAGTGTAATTGGTAGTAAATAAATGTAAAGATTGAGTTCATAATGTTTGATATGGTGGTAAGAAAAGAAAACATGTTCAAGCCCTCTGTGTAAAATGTTTCGGCGCATCGGTCGTCTCTGGTTTTAAAATCGAAAAGTTCTTTTCCATTCGGCTGAAATACAATACACATAAAGTAGATGAATATGGCAGCTGCACAGAGTTGTATCTACAAGATAGAGATTCGTTTCTTTCAGCGCATTTATTGTTTAGCATATGAATGATATACGCATGTATACATATACAGTTATATATATATATACACGCTCGCCTGTTTGTGTGTGTGTGTGTGCGTGTATGCGTGCGCGTATGAAGTGTACCCTTTGGCATATTACAAAGAATTGAATAAAGTTTATAAGGAAGCCAGAACCAGTCCGCGGAGAGAAGCAGTTCCCTCTGCCGTGAGAATATGCGTGCGCGTAAACGAGCCAACATGTGGTTGCATGTACGTGCACGTACGTACACTATATAGCGGTTACATAGGGAAGAAGCCAGGTGTTTTATTTCAAACCGTGGGACTCTTAAAAGGGGATGCTTGCACCACGTCTTCTACTTGAAGAATATGAAAAAATTCCTGTTCCACCGACCAGCGAGAAGAACGCTACCGTGCCGCGTCCCGCCGATTCGACCACTTTTATTGTGTTTTCTTATTCGATCGAACGTAACTTAACCCCCCTCGTCTCCTCATTTTTCTATTCTTTCCTTTTCAATCAATTTTCCCTTTTTCCTTGCCCTTTACCGTGACAGAAACGAATCAAATAGCATTTCACCGTGAACCTTCCAGCAACAATGCGCGTTTTATGGTCATATTGCGCTGTTGAAGGCCGAACAAAGAAACGTCGAGATGCTCTCTATCGTTAATGTCGATCACTCTCTTCTGTTCCGCTGTTATCGACATCGAAACAGTAACTTTAAAAAACTTTTCGCAAAACTAACAAAAGAAAGAAGAATGGGACTTTGTTTTTTTTTTTTTCAGTTACGAGTACAACGCGGATGATTGAAAAATTAGTTCCTAAAGGAAATGTTTGAATAGGTTTGGCAATTTTTAAATTGCCCAATGATAATCAATGAATGGTAATATGAAATTAATCAAGCGAAATATCTAACATGAACTGTTTGTACAATAGAAATACACGTTGCTTAAAAAAAATAAAAAGAAAGATTTGTTCTATAGAAATTTTACGAATAACAAAAAATGTTTGACACTTGTCATCAAGCACACAAAGTGATTTGGATGGTTTTATTTAATACGGAAAAAGGTTAACTAACATTTGTTTCTTCTAAAATGCAGCACTTTATTATTCCACATTGTTTTTAAATAAAAAATATATATATTTCAAGTATAAAGAATATAAAGTTTCACACGTAAATATCCCTTAGACTTAATACTCTTAATATACATAACCTTTCTGTTTCCTTTTTTTTTTTCGTTTATTTCGAAACGAAACGAATACGAATATATACCAATGAATAAATAATATATGTAATACCGTATGAACAAAAAGTGCATGGTGTTATATATAAGTAAAAAGTTTTCGACAAATGAAGGGTATTTTTGATGAAATTTGAAAATGTAACAGATGATAGGTCGAATAGATCCAGCAGGCCGGGACGAGTGCAATTTGATCTAACCTTGCAACAAATAATGCCCACATCCCAACCTGCCGGCATCCTCGACGAATTCGGCTAAAATAATTGGACAGCGTCCTCTTCTAGTTCTTTGTTTGTTTTCCAATGATGCTCAATCCTCGTACTACGTCTGTTGCCACTCGCCTTTTTTCTTCTAACATGAAATTATAATGCATTCCGATAGGCCGGGACAAGTGCAATATTGAAGGATTATATCACCACGAAACATTGTCACAAATCTCGGCCTATCTTCGATGCAGCAAGTCAATGGGTCTTCTTGTACGGACTTAAATCATATTCGTTAAAACAATCGCTCGGACAATGGAATTTTGAAAAACACGAAAGGATGTTATTCGTTGTTTACTTGCAAAATGCACGAATTGTCTTGATTTTCCGAGTTTACAAGAATTCCATCAGACGAAAATATGCGTCGTTTCTCGTTCGCGTGAAGAACACGTGCATCCTCTTTCCTATCCCGTGAATGGGTGGGTAATTTTTGCACAAAGTCTCTTCGAAACGGTCTTTAGATCATTCATTTTCCAAATCAAAGAGAATTTTATTCGTTTAAGCTAATAATAGTGATTAATTATAATTCAAGGTAAATGAATGCGCACAATAAACAAAGCTTTTCTCGATCATATAGAACATTCTAAGCTATTATATCATTAAACATATCGTAATTATATATATAATTAAATATACATATGTATGTACATCAAACTATGATGAGTCGTGTGCTAATATCATTTCATACACGAGGGGACAAATCCACTATTATTCGTACACGAATTGTGCCGGTGCGACTGAAGTAACGTACTGCGTAATTGTAACATTAAGCAATATTCGAAGAAAGCGACACTTTATGATTCTTAAGAAATATTTAATCGAACTCTGTACAATTTTCCCGATTAACTTTCACGCACATAGCTACGACGCACATTCAATCAAACAGTTTTCGGCAGTTACAATTTTCAACGGACGGTTTCTCCGGTTTACGATCACGTTTTCAAACACGATATCAAAAGTAGAAACGAACGCGATTCCTTGGTCTTGCAGAAACAGATTGTAGCATTCGTAAGTACACGTTTTAACGAAAGCACGTTTACCGGTATACACCCTAACCCCCAAATCAAAGCGAATGACGTCTTTCGCCCGTTGCCAATATCGCGCCACGGTTCTCTTCTCTCTGTCCCTCTCCGTCTTCCTTACCCCTCGCAGCGTCACGCCCGTCCCGTCCCGGCCCGTCCCATCCCATCCTGTGTATGTTTCACCTATTTAGTTGGAAAGTGCAATGTAAACACCGTAAAATCGCAGGAAACCAAGCGATCCGAATCTCTCTAATTCACTGCACAACACTATCGACAAGATATTCTGTGTGTATATACGTATGTATGCATGTGTGTGTCACGATACGTTTTACGACGCGACGGCAACAACGATCACGATCACGACCACGACCACGACGACAACGGTGATATCAACGACTATAGCGACTGTAACGTGACGAACTTTGAAAACTATCGTCGTTTCGTCCGTCGTTGGGCTTCTCGAGAAGAAGATGATATCCGACAAGAGTACCACCGACGAGAAGCGTGAAAGACGCGATAACATTCCGCTCAGAGAGTCCTCGACAAACTGCTGCCCGTGACCAGGTGTCTCCTCTCTTTATTCCTTTTGGGTCCCAAGTACATGAAAGCCTCCAGCTATATAGGTGCCCCTTAGGGCCGATGGTGGGGGCTTATTCTTATTTAACAGCAACGAAGCAGGAACACCAGCAACAACCAACTTCGAAGCCTCCCTCCTTTTCTTTTTCGTCCCTTTCGCGATCTCTTTTTATTCTCTGTCTTTCTTCATCAACCTCTACCTTCGATTCTTTCAACTTCCTCCCCTTTTCTCCTCTCTTGTTCTCTGTCTCTTTTTCTTTCTCCCTTTCTCTTCCCTTCCGTCTCCCCTTCTCTTTTTCTTCCTACCCATCTGCTTCTGCTTTTCATTCGAGTACTTGTCCTTTCTTTCTCCACCCTTGTGTTCTTTCTTCGTTCTTCTTGCACCCGCTCTGCGGTGTGCAGATCTACCGGTAAAGCCCGCCAAAATTGTATCAGCTGTCCTGAATTTTGCTCCGCCTGTCAAGGCGTATGACGTATACCGTTCTTCTTGTTCTTCTGCGTCTCTTTGTCAGGTAGATATATCCCATGGGAGAGAAAAAAGGGTCAGTCGAATCTTACAATAGTGAGGCTATTACAATTTGTGCAGTGGTACATTTTAAACTCGTTTTAGTAATATCATTTCATAGTTATGTCGTTTGGCACATGCTAAAAATCTATTATAACTTACATACATATACTTGGTTAGGTGAATCGCGCGCCAGCGTCTTGCTGCATATTCGTTTTGAAAACGAAAACTCATTACAGTTTGAAGCGCGGAACGTTACGACGAATTTGCCAACATTGACAACGGGTGCGTACGATTCGATACTTTTTCTATGTGTATATGTATTCGATAATTTCCTTAACGTTAGTACCACGAACTTGAATTTACCCTCTTAGTTAAATACATACATATGTACATAGGTATATAAATCGTGATTCTCGTAAAGATAACGACGATCTAGGGACAAAGGTCAACCGTCGAATTTGTTCATTTCTCGACAAGTTGGTGAGATCGTTCGATAGATACATAGATATGTACTTGGTTTTTCTTCATCCATCGAGACATTTGTCATTTGTGATTGTATGCAGATTCGCTGTGCAAAAGCTGTGATTTTGTATGAACTGTAATATGATTGGATGGATACACAACTGTTTACTACGAGCAAACGAGTAATTCCTGTTATTTTTCGAACAAGATGTTACAAAACTGACTGTTATTCTTTGGCTGACGTTAACACGCGTGTTGATACGTTAAGGGAGAAAGAAAATTGAAAAGAGAGAATGATTGAGAACCACTTGTAGGAGGACAGCTGCTGCTACGAGCGCATCTGCTGTCGGTTGCGCGGGCACGCGCGCTTACATATCCTTATTCCTACGTCGGTACTATACACTCTATATAGATGTACACGAGTCGAACGCATACGGTACTCCTCTGTTCTCCTTATTTCTACCGTGTTGTTCCATCCTTTTTTTGTTAGTCCTTTCCTTTTTCCCTTCTTTATTTTTGTCCGAACATTCGCCCCTCTCTTCGTCGTCGCTCCTCACTCCCCATCCCCTACTTAGCGCCGTCCTTCCTTCATTTCAGTTGGTTTCTTTTTTCTCACCCCTAGAACTGCGACATCGCAGCATTCGAATCCCGTTTTCAATGTACATATACACATATGTATGTGTATATATCCTTCTAGTAAACGTGTCTTCTCGTTGTATTGGGGGTTGACGGACCGTCATCCTCCCTTTAATACCGTTCAGACCGAGGATTTACAATTCGTGAGAGAAGGAGAAAATGAGAGAGAGACGGAGAGAGGGTCTACTCGTGTTTATAGCGTATACGATGGTTGCCTGATTTCGAAAACCTTGTACACCTAGTTTATAATACCTATACAGGGCTTACGCGAGCAGCAGGGTTTTCTACGGTGAGTAGCTGCGTACGATGCAGCTTGCCACAGCCGGTATGTAGGTATACCACCGCCGTGGTACCCGAAAATTTTCTTTGTTCTCATTGTTCACAGAATTTCCACCGTACGTTTACGACGGCTATGCTTCTTAGAAAATTCACCATTTCCTCTCTACTACCCACGGATTTTTCCATCTGCTCGCCTTGTTCCGCGTTCGTTTCTTTTTCTTTTCCTCTCTTCGTCATTCTGTATGAACACCCCCCACGGGATTTTAAGTTCAGGCCTTTTGTCCCTTTGCATACCTGCTCTCGTTGAAGCAAACTAACGCGATAGCAAACCCTGCTTCGTATACATTTCTCTCGAAACTCATGCTTTTTCTTCTCTCTCGTCTTAATATTAATACAACATTTTCCAACGTTTCTTTACGCTTCATTTCGCAGTGTACATACATACATAGTACGTACATACACTCAACCTGATATCCTTTCGTTTTTTCCACTTTATAATGGAATACATATGTATATGGTGAAATTATTATAGTGAACGCAAATACTAGAACGAAATCGTGAAACCCTAGTTGCTCGCTAGAACCCCTTTTTCCTATCGTATTGTCTTCGTTATCTTATCGAGGTAAGAAAAGTCTCCAAGTAGTATGCATACATAGATCGACACATGCCAGAGAATGGCATCGATGTGCGGCCGCATGTGCTTCACACTGTAGGGCCCAGATGGCAAGCGTTGAATCCCTTGCTTAAATTTTAACCACGATGTAACACTGCTGCTTTTCAGACCACCTGTTCTACGCGTAGTTCCAAGCTATTCCTAAAATTTCACCATTACGCACAGGTATATATGTACATACATATATACGTATACGTGCCGATAGAGTAGATGATAATACATAGAAGGAAAGAGGTATGATTTTCATATGCACGTTAGCTAGATATGTGTTGGTTAGTGTATAAAACGTAAATCAATCAGTTTTCCACCATTTCAAATCTTATCTACTACCTACTAGAAAACTCTCATGTACGTACATATAGTATTAAGTAACGATATTAATCGTATTCGTACCATAAGGATGAACAAAATTATATCAGCCGAATTTACATTAAGCAAAAAAGATGTATACCTGGTTGTAGGTATGTGCAGTGTACTATGTGTTAACAAACGGTCGTTCCAAGTGACGTTACACTTTGGGACGGGTTTCAAAAGATCTTTGTTCGCGTCGAGGAAGTGAATCCGTGGTCGAATTCAAACGTGTTCGTGTATACGAATATGTACTTTATGTCGTCTGCAGCAACCGGAAGTTCAACATACATAATGTTTCTGGGTGCGCCTGTTTGTGCTATTTTTCGCTTCACTGACAAATAGAAACAATGTAATGATTAACTACGATTTAATGAACAAGTAATACACCGCAAGTATAACGCTTTACTATTTCTATCAACTTTTCTTTTATATTCACACTTTTACGATGAGTTTGTAATGAAAGGTGGGTATTTCGGAAAATTATAATCTGTAATTAATATAATATGAATGCAAATTACCGCAACACTTCGTTTAATATTACATGTTATAAGAAAAGAATATTTTACAAACACCTTGGTACCAAACATTTTCAAAGACCTTTCGTAAATGCTTATTTTGCAAATATTTATTATGAACACCTGATTCGTGCACAATTTATTATAGATAATATAGAATATGTATTAGGGAAATGCATCGATGATTCTTTGGTTCAGTAATAAAACAGATTTCTTTCTTATTGATTGTACGAATGTCCGTCGGTAAGGGATTACCGAACTGGATTGTAACGAAAAGTAGGTCAAAGCCTTTCACTTGTAGAAATTAATTCTGCAAACTGTTTACGATGGAACAAGTAGAAAGTATTACAGTTAATCCGTACTTCACACTCTTGAAAGAATCAGACTGTATTGCAAAGATTATCGTGTGAAAATTCGGCAGTGAAATTAGACAGCTGATTAGTAAGATTAAACTATGAGGACTTGAATAATATTAATGGTCCATTTAATGCAAGTGGACCATACTCTGTATTTTAAGTTAAGAGTATTATTTCAAAGTTTTTATATTGTATTCCTGTTCCTTTTGTAATACATGAAATTCAACAATGGTCAAAATAAAAGATAATACCGTCCAAGTAGTGTTCATTTCTTTGCTTTTGGATCTTTTGGCATTTACTATGATATTACCATTGTTACCGGCCTTATTAGATTATTATAAGGAAATAGAGGATGACGAAGGCATGTATTTTAAAATCCTACATTACATACAAAAAGCAAGGAAATTTTTTGATGCTCCTGTTAAAGTTAATACAGTACTCTATGGAGGTTAGTTGCCTCTTCTTTAATTTTGTTAAAATATTTGTATATCAACATTAATATAGATGCATCGTTTAATTTACAGGCTTTCTTGGCTCTATGTACTCCTTTTTGCAATTTTTGGGTTCTCCAATAGTGGGAGCATTGTCAGATATATATGGAAGAAAACCATTGATGATATTTTGTTTAACAGGAATTGCATTATCTTATCTGCTATGGGCACTTTCCTTCAATTTTACTATATTTGTGTTAGCAAGATTTGTCGGAGGTATTACTAAAGGAAATATTAATTTATCAATGGCTATTATCAGTGATGTTACATCTTCAAAAACAAGGGGGAAAGCAATGGTAAATTTTGCTAAGAGAAACAACTGACAGAAGTAATAAATGCTCCAGATAAATGAATATAAAGTTTTGATTTTTAGGCACTGGTTGGTATAGCTTTTTCTATAGGCTTTGTAGCAGGCCCAATGATAGGAGCATTTTTTGCATGGTCTTCCAGTGATAATAGGCAAGGAGCTTGGTATATAATACCTGCCTTATTTGCCCTTTTTCTGGCAGCAAGTGACTTGTTTTTTATTGCTTGCAATTTACAAGAATCTTTACCGTTAAAATGTAGAACAAGAACGCTTGCATCTGGTGTTTCTGGAATTCTTACTTATATTAATCCTATAGATCTATTCCAATTCAGTGGAATCTCTGATTTAAGTGTGCAAGGTGAAATTTCTCTAAACTAATATGTTACAAATTCTCTAGATGTTAATAAAAATTATGTATGTAATTTCAGACAAAAAAAGCTTAAAAACACTGGGTTGTGCATATTTCATGTATTTGTTCATCTATAGTGGCTTGGAATTTACCTTAACTTTCTTAACTCATTATTTGTTTGAATTTACAAGCATGCAACAAGGATGGATGTTTTTGGGAATTGGGTTGATTATGGCAATTTTGCAAGGAAGTTGGATACGGACAATTCCACCTGATGAAACAAAAAGTGTTGCAGAATTGGTAAACATTTTGAAGGTTTCAAATCAAAATTTCTATCCATGTTATCTTTATTTTCATTAAATTATACAAATATTTTAGGGTTTATGGTTGATTATTCCAGCATTTATTTGTGTAGGTTTTGCAAATGATATGTTAATATTGTCTACCGGATTACTTCTGTTTGCAATTTGTGAGTGCATTATCACATAAACATATATATTTCTAAAGTACATCAAATAACCACTAAATATTCATATTGAATGAAAGTAAGAAATAGGTTTTTTAAATTTCTTTATTTATCATAGCTACTGCCATGGTTGTTACTTGTATGATGACCCTTGTTACACGTATTGGTCCTGATTATCAAAAAGGTGCAATAACAGGTGTATTTCGTTCTCTTGGAGCATTAGCACGAGCTTGTGGACCCATTGTAGCTTCTTCAGGTGAGGATAAAACGTATAATCATTTATTTAGGTTAGCTATACTACTAACTTAGACATTTTTATTTCAGCTTTTTGGTGTATTGGCAGTAAAACAACATATCTCATTGGTGCTGCATTTCTTGTATTTCCACCTATTATTCTTCGAAGGATAAAGTCATTTTAAAGTGAAAGAATTTTAATAAGTATTGTATATTTATACTTTGACAGTATTTTTATATATTAAACAAGATTTTTTGATATATTTGAGAAAGTATTCTTTATATATTTATTGTATTATGTATGGAGAGCATAATATATTTTCACAATCGATATAATTGCATATTTTGATATACAAATTTTCTTTATCTCTCCCATTATTGTTCAATAAAGAATATTATTCTTATAATATTGAACGAAGAAAGTTTAAGTGTTATTTTTTTTACACAAACATAATAAAATATCAAAGGTTCCCTATTTCAGTAATTCGTTTCATTTTGTATATGCAGAGAATAGGATATGATGTAACGATAATAAAAAGCATCAATTTAGTGGTTATCGATACTTAGTTGTTTGTCAGTAGTAAGCATGTTTATTCTTACGATAAATCAAGAAAAAAATATAACTAAAGTAAACGTAATTGATTTGAAGTAAAAAAGTGATTAGAGCCGACACGATAAAGATGTACCGCAACATTTCCTTCTACTTGTTACGTTCCTGGGTGAATTATGAATTCACGCAAGCGTGGTTGGTGTATGGTCATGTGACGTACCCTCTCCCTTTCGTGCCGCGCCATTTACGGTAAGAAATTCTCGGAATTCTTTGTTCGCGGCACTCCGTCGTCGTCCGCGCTGATGGGAGTAACACAGAAGGGGGAAAAGTTATTGATGAGATTTACGCGTACGACCGGTCCCCGCAATCGTTACGTTTACGATTATTGCGTGGTAGACTGAGTTTGATCAGTTCAAAGGTTATACCTCCGACAAATTGAGGAAAACAGAGAAAGATAGGTAACAGAATTACACGGTACAAATCCTAGTTGCTTCTGTCCTCGGACTAGCAGCAGGTGAGTGCAACCAATTCTTGAAGCGAACATCTTTTCCTTTCGCCCCTCCCGCTTATCTATTTACGCGTTATTGCGATACGTCACGTTCTGTTATTTCTGAATTTCGACCTGATATTCCTTATGCTGAATTCAGTTTAACAAATCGATTAATTAATCAATTACTTTTTTCACTTGCTACACATTTATTCAATACTTTTCAAAATAACATCGGACATTTATCATTTCTGTATCGCTTGCTTCAGTTTCACAAGTATGTATCCATTTTTTAAGTATGCAAGCGTGGTTCCTAGCGATACTATCAAGTATTTCACCTCATCGAGCGATACGGTCTTCGTACGTTTTGTAAGAAATATAAGCGATATCTTGTAACGAGTCTATTTTTGTACTGTTTATGTGTTAAATGTAAAAATTGTGACTACGTTTATATTGTTAACTTTGTGGTTATATCCTTATTTTTGGACTTAAATATTGTTAATGAAAACAATTGATATCAATGGTCAATATAAATTAATAATATGACTAATGAAAGAATGTGTTTAAGGTAAAGAACTTATATTTAAAATCAAAATGTCACTGTGGGGAAAAGCACAGCAACTACCGCAAGATGCATTGCAGCAAGTACGTTCAGTTTATGGAGAGCACTTTCCAATCGAGGTCAGGCATTTTTTATCTTCTTGGATAGAAGAAAAAATGTGGTAAGTTAATCAGATTGGCATTTTTGTAAATGTTTCATTTAATATTTACAGAGTACTTGATGTAATAGTATTTTTTATATTGTAATAGGACTGACATAGAACCTGACAACCCACAATATGAACAATATATTACTAATCTTGTTAGATCACTGATACAAGAATTAGAAACAAAAGCAGCTTCTTTAAACACAGATGACATGTTTCTAACAAAATTAAAATTAATGGAAGCTGCAAAAAATTTTCGTGTAAGTTCTGAAACTGATTGCTAATTGTCTAATTTAAAGTGCAATATAATTTATAATCAATACTTTCTCTTCTTTAATGTAGCAAAGATATACTCATAATCCAGCAGCACTATTTAGAATAATTAGACATTGTCTAGGAACAGAGATGAAATTAGTAGCTCAAGTGGAAAATTTAGGGGGTACTTTAATGAGTATGGCTGGAGGGAAAGTAGGTTTGATTAGCGATGCTGTTGCTGAAATAGCTCAACATGTTGAATCTTTGAGACGCAGAACACAAGAAGCTGGAGAAGATTTGAGAAAAATGGAGCAAGAGCAAGAAGCCTTTGCTATAAGTTATCATGAATGTACCAAGCTGAACGCGCATCTCCAGCATCTTGCCACGCAACCACAGAATCAACAAAATTTGGAATTGGAGAAAAAGATTCGGAGGCAACAGGAACAGCAGGAACAATTACTGAATCACAAAGTAACTGGTTTAATGCAATTACGACTGACATTAGCTGACAAGCTGAAAGACACTATTACTAGATTGAATAGCTTGCAGTCCAGAGTATTAGACGACGAACTTATTAGGTAAAAAATTTTTTTTTTCTCCCTTTCTCTCTGAAATGGAATAATTCGCAATGTTTTGAAGTTAAAATGATATTTATATATATATATATGTGTTTGTGGGTGTGTGTATTTTTTTTTAGATGGAAAAGGGATCAACAGTTGGCAGGAAATGGTGCACCATTCAACAGCAATTTGGATTCTATTCAGGAATGGTGTGAGAGTTTAGCTGAATTAATTTGGCTTAATCGACAACAAATTAAAGAAGCAGACCGTTTAAAGCAAAAATTTGCTCTTGAACCACCAGGAATGCAAGATATTCTTCCTGCTTTAAATTCTCAAATTACACAGCTTCTTAGTTCGTTAGTTACAAGTACATTTATCATAGAAAAACAACCACCTCAAGTAATGAAGACCAATACTCGTTTTACGAGTACGGTACGGCTGCTGGTGGGTGGACAATTAAATGTTTATATGTCACCTCCTCAAGTAAAAGTAAGCATTATTAGCGAAGCTCAAGCAAATGCACTCTTAAAGAGTGATAAAATGGCAAAAAATGGAGAAGTTAGCGGTGAAATTTTAAATAATACAGGGACGATGGAATATCATCAAGTAAGGGGAAGAAAGTAATTGAAAAAGTGGTAATTAATAATATTACTGAAAAAATAAATCTGTGAAATATGTTTGAACTTTGCAGGCAACGAGGCAGCTTTCCGTAAGCTACCGTAACATGCAGCTGAAGAAAATCAAAAGGGCAGAGAAGAAAGGGACGGAGTCTGTGATGGATGAAAAATTCTCGCTCCTCTTTCAGTCGCAATTTAGCGTTGGAGGAGGTGAATTAGTATTCCAGGTTTGGACGTTAAGTTTACCAGTGGTGGTAATTGTACATGGAAATCAAGAACCACACGCTTGGGCTACGGTTACATGGGATAACGCGTTTGCTGAACCAGGAAGGGTACCATTCGCGGTACCTGATAAAGTTCCATGGGGTCAAGTAGCCGAAGCATTGAACGTTAAATTTCGATCAGCGACGGGTCGTTCGTTAACCGAAGACAACCTTCGATTTCTGGCGGAAAAGGCGTTTCGCGGTGGAAACGCGAGTGGACAAGATTACTCTAGTTTACTTTTAAGCTGGGCACAGTTTTGTAAAGAGCCATTGCCCGAAAGAAACTTTACATTCTGGGAATGGTTTTATGCTGTGATGAAGTTAACCAGGGAGCACCTGAGAGGTCCATGGATCGATGGTTACATACTGGGGTTCGTGAGAAAGAAGCAAGCGGAAGAAATGTTGGCAAACTGTGCGTCAGGAACTTTCCTAATGCGATTTTCAGATTCTGAACTGGGTGGTGTTACTATCGCTTGGGTTGGAGGTGATTTCAAGTTTCTTTCAAGTTTTTTCTATACTTGATCATCGCATCATCTCATCGCTATATTTTGCTACGAAATAATTTACAGATCAAACGGAGGTGTTCATGTTACAACCGTTCACAAGTAAAGATTTTGCGATCCGTAGTTTAGCCGATCGTGTGTCCGATTTACAACACTTGCTTTACCTCTATCCAGACTTGTCGAAAGATCAAGCATTTTCCAAATATTACACGCCATTTACAGGTAAATACCATTTAACGTGTTATTTGTTTGTTAGTTTTGTTACTTTAACACGATGTTGTTTCGAATTTGACAAATTTTTCGGGATGCATTTTGTCGCAGAAAATCAGTCTACGTCGACGAATGGATATGTGAAACCGTTGTTGGTAACGCACGTACCTGGTTGGGGTGGACCTGGTGTCGGTGGTCAAACACCGTCACACTCCTCCGTAGTTGGGGTAGGCGGTAGTGGTCAAAGTGGTCTCGGTGGTAGTTATCCCGCAACGCCATCCACAATGTTTCAAGCGCACAGTCCTGATCCGTCTGTAACACGCGATACACCATCGGTGGCTTCCAGGTCAGTTCCCTGGATCTAAAGTATCAATCATTTCATTTATTTTCGTTTATTAACATAAACTGCCATAGAAATATCATACAAGATATGCAAAGATTTCTTTTCCACTTTTCTACAATACACAAACATGTACAATTTAGATATCGAACAAATACAATTTCAAATGTGAGTCTCAATTTTTCTCAATCGTAACATATCATTATTATCGTTTCTCCTTTTCTTCTTTTTATACTTCGTATCGTAAGACTATCGTTTGCCAACAGCTCGCCCACTTTTCCTTCCTCTAAAGTTCAGGTACTTAAAGTAGAAAACTGATCAATAATGAATATGAATTCGTGAAAAAGTAGAAATCGAGACATTACTATAATCGATTACACTTTGCATGTCTTTTATATTCTCTCTGTGCAGCTGAATGTCAGTATTGTTTTTTTTTTTTTCTTTTTTTTACGTTCTCCTTTTCCGAACATTAGCAAATACTATAATTTACAGTGATATTTGTAGTTTCGCATTTGTAAACTTTTCTTATGGAATTTTGCAACTTTTATACCATTATTGTATCGTGAAATGAAAGTATAAGTAATGTTAAGTCGTGTTGAACGATTTTATCCATGATTAAGGAAATTGTATGCTGGAGAATACTGGGTGCCTAAAGACAATTTTTCTGAAGCATATACTTTGTTACGTATACGAAACATATAAGATAACTAGTCTTTCGACATTCTCTCATTTTTATTTTTATTCTATATATACATATGTACACACGCACACGCGCGCGGGTGTGTGTGTGTG